AAAAAATAAGAAAAATAAAAAAATAAGAAAATTGGGGGGTTTTATCCATTTTTTTTATCCAAATCCAAAATTATTATTCCCCCATTTTCTTTTTCATTCGCAGTTGACGGCGTAAAACACTCCCACCCCATCCCAACACCTCTCTCTCCAAATGCTCAACATCACATTGTGAGGATCACGATGGGATTTCAACTCCCCCATCATGAGAACAATGAGATTTGCACATCAACTTTGAGAACTCCCTCAGACGGTTGTTGGAAAGGGTGTCTAAACTGGTTTACTCCCACTCAGCTCTTCCTGCTGCAGCTTAAAGGTCATTTTTTGGAGCTGAAGTGGTGCCAAAATCATTGCCCTGAATGAATTTGCATCTCAAATAAGTTGACTCAGGGTTTCTGGTCTCACTTGACCTTTGAAGAAACTGCTTGGTAGGAAAAGAATTTATGAGAACACCAAGTTTTTTGAAGAACATTGAAGAGACCTGGGCCTTGTGCCAAGTAGCAGGCAAAGTCCATCTACCCTGGTGCCTCCCTCTGGTATCTGAGCTGCAAACACTGACCTTTAAACAGTGCTGGTGGGGCAAAAATGTGTGAAAAGAGAGGAGAAGAAGCCACACGCTCCGTACCTGCTTATGATGTTCATTATGTCCTAGAAAGAAAAAGGAGAAACTGAGTGAAATCTCATAACAACACATGCTACATCTCCCCTGACTCACTAAACCCACTCGGGATGTCCATACCTCACAGCTGCAACAAGCAGGCATGAATCCATGCCTCAGGTGTTTGCTTTCAGCTTTGGTTCCACCAAATCCCACCCAATTGGCTGTAATTAAAGACTCAGCTGCTTCTGGAGGAGACCAAGAATTCCAAACAGTCCTATGTATACAACACTCCAGCTTTATCCTCATAGAATCATGATGTGGTTGAGGTTGGAAGGTGTCTTTGGATGGTTTCTCAACCATCCCATTGCTCAAAGCATGTTGGGTTATCCAAGGCCTTGCCCAGGTGAGTTGGGAGTATCTTCAAGAATGGTGACTGTAAAAAGTTATCTGGTTTCTATTCCAGTATTTGACTGTTGTTGTGTGAACCTGTGTGTAGGCATCTGGCAGCCTTTGAGATGCTCTTAGGGTCTTCTTTGCTGGTCTTCCATTTCTGAGCAAGTCCTATCAACCTGTCCCATGGGAAATCTTGAGATACAGAAGGACACCTGCAAGTATCCACCTACCCAAGAGCTAAAGGGACATCATCTGTCATAACCTGGCCACCTAGAAAGCTGGCATTAGACTTGCCCATCTATGTCTCCACGATATCTGGATTCCCATGGTCTAATCAACACCAAGAAGAGCTTGAGGTACCTCCAAGAGGTGATTTAACCCACTCTGAGATGGATGTGCCAACAGTGGAAACGATTTGCCTTCAGGAAAGGATTGGAAAATCCTTTGGAGGAAAATCCTCCAATCAGGTTGGATTATGGAGTTAATTAGAGATTTAAATACCCTCAATAATTAGTTGTGACATGACCAAAAATTCACCAAGATGAAACCCACACTCAGTCCAGTCCATGTCGTTATTTGCCCCTTTTGGACACCTTTAAAAGAACATAAAGGAAGTTCAAAAGCCGTGGTGAGTACGTTGGATGTGAGTTCAAGGCAACACAAAGCCGTACCCATCACCCAGGGAATCTAAAAAGTCTTTGAAGCTGGTTAAGAACTTCCACCATGACCTTTTTTTAAAAAAAAAATAATAAAGAATTAAAATGTCACCTATTGTTACAGGATCATCTCCACGTGCAACGGTGAGGGCCAAGCAAAGACCACGTGAAATGAATTTGAACCCACAGCCAAGTTCTGAAACCATCTGTCAATATTTACAGGGTTGTCAACTCTGCCTCTGAGGGAATTTAACTCCTTGGAGATCCACGTGCAACCAGAAAAAAACCCATCTATTTAGTTTCACCAAACCATTGTCAATTAGAAGGTCACCCATTGACCTTTTGTCATTCAGTGGAGGGGAAAGAGGACTTCTTGATTTTAGGATGGGCAGCTCAGATTTGTTGTTCAAACCTCACTTCATCCATGAAACAGGGAGAGCTGGATGGGCTCCAGCTTCTTTCTTTGTCGTGCAATCAATACCTGGACTCCATCTGCTCGCTCTCTCTCTCTCTCCCTCATACTTTCCAGCTTGGTTAATAGCTCATTTGGACTTGAAAACCCAGCTCTGCTTTCAGATCTTGGCCAACCTTCTGCAGTCAGGACTCCGCTGTGAGAACTGGCAAGGAGCCTGGTCCTGCTCCACGTGTCTCTATACTCAGCTCCATCCTGAACCCTCACCAATGCCTTTAACCTGGAGGAGTGGACATCTATGACTTGGCTTGCCACAAACCTTCAGCACTGCAAACCCATCAAGACCTGGAGTTGCTTGGTTTAGAGGATCTAGCTAGTATCGCTGTGGTGGATCTTCATGTAAGGTCTAATTCAGCTTTGGACCACCTCAAAACAGGAATTTATGGGTGCTAGAAAGTTCCAGGTAAAATCATGGAAGAAAAATTTATCAGAGATTATTAAATATGAAGAATATGCCTCTGGCTCAAGATGTTCCTCAGCCAGAAGTAGTTGCTCCAATGCCATAGCAGAGCTCAGGACATTCAGACACTGCTCATTAGAAAAAAAAAGGACATTTGTCCTCAAAACACCTCTGCAAGATCCAGAAACACATTTAAAAAGGATGAAGAAGGTTCAGGAGTCAGATCTGAATGCTCATTTCATTGCAAACATCTCACCTTGAGGAATTCAAGCATGGGCTGCTGGATTTTCTCCTCCAGCTCCGTGATGAGTTTGTTGAGAAGTGTGATCTCCTTCGAGAGGTCAGTGATGTTCTCGTTCTGCCTCTTGGCAATGTTCTTCTCCATCTTCTCCAGCTGACCCAAGAGGATGTGCTCCTGGTCGTGGAGGAACTGCCGCAGCCTCTCAAACTCCAGGAGCAGCTTCTGCCTCTCATTCTCAATGGTTTTCTGGGAAGAGAACATAGCAACATAGGTTCCTACTTGAGTTGTCATCACATGCAAACCAAACACCCTCTGAGACAAAGCCCGGGGACAAATGAGAACATTTTGCTCCAAAAAACCCACACCCTTTGGCAGCACAAAGAAAGTTGAGTGTGTTTTAGTTGCTTCACTCTAACATTGTCCTTCAGCACAGGTCAAACAGGTCCACCTGGCCTTCAAAAACTGATCTTTCACGCTCTACCTTTTGCATCATGGATGAAACCACAGCTCTTGGCAGGTTGTTGCTATTTCAAGGCCTGCCAGCTGGAAAAAAAAACAACCCCACAACCAGCAAATTGTGGTCATAAGGCTGTTGCTGAGGGATGGTGGAGCAAAAACGTGGGTTGAGATGTTTGTCTTGAGCAATGGGGAGGACATGAGACACTCAAAAGTATTTGTCTTGGAGGTGATGGTCTGGGAGGGTGTTATAAGCAGGGGAGATAAGGGTTTTCCTGAAGGAAATGCTGTGCTACCTTCTGCTGCCATATAGATAACGAGTTGAGGAAGTGGAGGAAGAGTTGGAGGAGAGTCCTACAACCAGCCTAGCTCTCAAGGATGCTCCAACACCCATCCCCTTTGATCATCCAAACACCAACTTAGGTTTGTTGGTTATTACACTCTCCCCAAGTCCTCTGCACCTGCAGACCAGTAAAACATGGGAAATGTCCTTCATTTTCCAGTAACAAAACCTCAGTGGGTTACCAACGTTCTTCTCATAACAAATCCCACGTGGCAACCAAAACACAACGTCGTTTTAGCTGCTAAAAAGAATATCAACTCTGTCCTAGGGACACCAGGACAATATTTGGCCAGCTCTGATGGTGAAGAAAGGAGGAAAAACATCTATTTCCCTTTTTTCAGGTATTAACAAAACATTGGTGAGGAGAAGATGGGGCAACTTGGTGGGTTCTAATCCCTACTCCACCCATCCCACCTTAGACCTTCATCCCCACCATCCCACTGCATTGCACGTACGCACCAAGAGCTCCTGGGTTTTCTTATCATCGTTCACTTTAAATTCCAGCAGCTCTTGCCTCTCCTTCTTCAGGAAATCCAAGCGTCCTTGGATTTTCTCCTAGAAATGAAGACAGAAGATGTTATTGGTGGGTTTTGGGAGGTGTTTTCTTTCTTCTACTGCTTTATTCTTGTGGTTTGCGAGCAAGATTGCAAGGAAAACTCAAGGCCGCTCCCACCGAATGAACACGCTGACTCAACTCTACCCACGCTCACCCAGACACCCACATTTGCAACCTTCAAGGACCATCACAAGCTCACATTCATGCAGAAAAACCCAAAGAAAGAAGATGGAGAATGTCAGGGGAGAAGAACATGCACCGTGTTCATCGATTGCTGCTCCTCAACCTTTGCTCTTAGCACCAGCAGAACTCAGCCTGAGGTTTTAATCAATTTATATTCATCTTTGGATGCTCGCCCAGACCTAAAATAGATGTGGGTGTTTGCTCTGTCAGCTGTGACCCTACTGATAAGGTGGGTGCCCGTAGGTAGTTGTTTCCAACATGGTCCTCACGTGGCTCCAAGCCCAATGCTTTTGGAGGAGCTTTTATGAAAGAAAGCAGAGAATGGTAGAGGTAAAATTCCCCCCCCCCCCCCCCCCTGCCATCAGCAGGGACACCTTCCACTAAACCAGGTTGCTCAAAGCCTCATCCAACCTGGCCTTGAACACTTCTAGGGAGGGGACATCCACAGCTTCTCTGGGCAATCTGGGCCAGGGTCTCACCACCCTCACACCAAAGAATTTCTTCCTCACATCTCATCTCCATCTCCCCTCTTCCAGTTTCAAGCCATCACCCCTTGTCCTGTCACTCCCTGTCCTTGTCCAAAGTCCCTCCCCACCTTCCTGGAACCTCTTCAGGTACTGGAAGATCACTAGAAGGTCTCCCCAGAGCCTTCTCTTCTCCAGGATGAACAACCCCCTTGGCTGCCTTATGTTTAATTCCACACTCTCCACAGTTGCAGAGATGATGGGAATGGGGGGTGGGGGGTTTAACATCTGGAGGGTGTTTTCCAGGTCTTTGGAAAGCTGGAAAGCACCAACTATGTCTTTCCAGGGTGGTGAAGCACAAGGTTGAGCACAGGAAAGTGTTTGACTGCTCAGGGACCCGAGTGAGCACAAATACACAGCACAACCTGTACCATCAGGAAGCAGGAAGACCTGGGAGGTCTTCTTCAGGGAGGACAGACAGACAGGTAAGTACCTTGTACTCCTCAGATGCCTCATCAACAGGTACCACAGCGTGTGGTCGGTGCTCCCGGGACCTGTCACATACCACGCAGATGGTTCTCCTGTCATCCTTGCAGTAGAGTTTCAGGGCTTCTCTGTGCTTCATGCAGAGCCCATCCTCCTCAGCACCTTTAGCTCCACGAAGGGTGAACTGACTGATGATCTCAGACATGTTCGCCAGCTGCCTGTTGGGTCTTAAATTCTTCTGTTGAAAGACCTCCCGACACTGTGGGCAGGGAAAATCCATCTCTAGGTCCTTCCAACTCTTGATGATGCAAGCCCGGCAAAAATTATGCCCACACTCGATAGACACGGGGTCTTTGAAGAACTCCAAGCAGACAGAACAAGTAGCTTCATCCTGAAGATTTCCAGGCAGAAACATTGCCGCCATGGCCTCTCTCCTGCAAGCAGAGTGATTTCACCAAGGGCTGGACACGGAACATGAATATTTGGCATCCAGCCCTGAGTGGGCGTTCCTCTTCCAGGAATGAGCTCGTTACCCTGAGGTCACTTCTGCCTGAGGTCACTTCTGCAGTGTCTGGTTACTTTAAATCGATAACAAAGACCTCAGTTTTTAGGAGACAACACATGGGTGGAGGAAAAAGAAGGTGGGAATATCTCTCTACCTTTTCCTCCTCCATAAATCCTTGTTTTCCTGACTTCTTTTCCACCCCCCCCTCTCTAAGAAGGGAGGTGAGAAAATGGAAGTTATTTGGGTTACAGCCACCAGGTCTGTAGGGTCTGGATCTTGTTGCTTTTTGGCTGACCTGGTGTCTAAATGTAAGATCTGAGTTCCTGGGCTTGTGTCATCGAGCAGCTGCTTCTAGGCTCTGATCCAGGTAACCATCTGAACTCTTGTTAAAGACCCATTTCACCCTCAATGTTTCAGCTGGAGACTCAGATGACTTGGTTGAGGTCCAAGGCTCAATAGAAGCCATAAAAAGCAGCAGGAGAAAGGGAATACACATGGATGCAAAGTCCATATCAAGATCTGAGGGGGGTTGAGGGGGTCAGTTTCCCAAATCCATAAAGATTAACTTCTGGGTTGTGGTCCTGTATCTCAAAACCACTTTTGGGCTTCCAGGAATATGATGAGCAGCTTTGGTGGTCTTGCATTAAATGGCAATGATAATTAATACGTGAGGAGCTTTCCTTGGTTGGGGTTTGTCTAGAATATGGTTGATTCCACCTGAGCAGCTCATCATGTTATTGGAGAACAGAAATAAAAGTGAGTGACAGTCATCTAAGTTACTTGGGTGGGTCACCTTACCATCCAACAGAGAAACGTGGGCACTTCTGGAGAATGATTCATCATCTCCTAATGAGGACTTGAAACCAAGATCAGGTGATCTGATCCATAAATGTTGGTTTCAAAGTCAACCTCAGTTGATCCAACATCTCCAAGTTGAGATCTTTTCCCTTGGAGATATCTGGAGCTAAGAGGAGACAAATCCCAACCCCACAAGTTGGACTTGAAGAGTTATATTAGGGAAATTAATCTTGGTGTCTTGATGGCAGAAGGTTTACGAAGGGTTTTTAATTTGTGGTACGATGTGTTTGTCCTGAAGAAAAACCCATTGAGGCAGGAGATCCATCCCCTACTTGAACCTTTCTTGTAAACTTTTGAACTTCTCTGGCATTTGCATTTCCTGCTAATCCAAAATTTGCTCGTTCAGGATTAAAAATGAGCTTTTTTTTTTTCTCATTAATTAATTTTTTAAAAACCCAACCAAATCTGGGCTTTGGAAAGGAATCTCCCTCAACTCCTCCAACCCTCAAACCAACTCCTCCAACCCTCAAACCAACTCCTCCAACCCTCAAACCAACTCCTCCAACCCTCATCCATCTTCTGACAGGAAAAAGACAATCTGAAGATCAGTGCTTGTTACAACCCACGCTAGATTGTGGTTGGAAATACCAGAGGACAAATGCTCAAACCAACTCCTCCAACCCTCAAACCAACTCCTCCAACCCTCAAACCAACTCCTCCAACCCTCAAACCAACTCCTCCAACCCTCAAACCAACTCCTCCAACCCTCATCCATCTTCTGACAGGAAAAAGACAATCTGAAGATCAGTGCTTGTTACAACCCACGCTAGATTGTGGTTGGAAATACCAGAGGACAAATGACTCAGGTGAATAAAATATATATATTTAAATGTATATATTCACACAGAGACTCATCTATAGAGAGGTCCATATATATATGTAGGCACATATATCCCTATATATAAATTATATCAATTTATATATACACAGTTCCCTATAAAAAACCAATTTTTTCCTTGCAAATCACAATTTCAGAGAATTATTCAAGTTGGAAAAAGACCTCTGAGATCATCAAGTCCAACCATTAATTTCCACCTCCTGTGCATATTTATCTACCTACCCTTTCTCATATAAATTGATATTTATTTATACACATACACATCACTCCTTATGGAAGGGAAATCACTTTCTCTTCCCCCTTCCATTTCTTTTGATCTGTAAATAAACATAAATTATACATTTTTTTTTTCCTCCTTAGTTATAAGAACATTCTTCACCACGTATCTGAGGAGAAGAAGGAAGAAGTGGTGGCTTAAGAGCTGGAGAAAATTCCATATTCTACCCAGAAATTATATAAATAGCAAAGAAAAATGAAAAAAAAAGAGTGAAACATCTCAAAAAAAGGAATGGGAAGAAGGAGAATAAGGTGGGTCTAGTAGGAAAATAATAATAATAATAATAATAATAATAATAGGACAAACCACCTCTGGACAGATGGAAAAGTGCATCCCATTGCCCTCCCTATGCCCCCAGTTGACCCCACCTCTACATACCTCGGAGTAGAGGTGTAAGAAATGGTCATCCTCCCATAACGCTCAACTTTTTGCCTGGGGAGGGTGTTAGTGGGGGGAAAACGAGGGGTCAACCTGGTGGCTGAGGGGTCCCAGCGGTAGGTAGCCCGTGGTAGACGTTCCACCATGCTCTGATGAAGGAAACCAGCCCGAGTTCTGGATGTCTCGGACATTTCGACGCCGCTCAAGCTCCTGCTTCTTCCCAGCCTTTAATTGCCCCATTTGTCCCCTCTGTCACCCCCCCACCCCCACCTCCCATCTCACTTACCATTCCTTCCCCTCCCCCATTGCATCTATCCTGGGAACCCAACGATCTCCTTCCCTCCTCCTCCTCTCCAGCCGCTTAGCTCTGCTCCTCTGTGCCAAAGTTCTTTTCCATGCCCAGAGCCAGGATCATGTTTCCATCACCTCTTTCCACCTGTCTACAAGCCCAGATCTTCTCCACAGGGTCTCTGCAGCCTTTTAACCCTCTCCAATGCCTCATCTCTCCTTCCAGATGAGCAGGGAACTCATCTGAGCTCATGAGGAGGAAAGTTGTGAAGCTTTTCATCCTTCCCCCTAAAGTCATCAATGAATGATTCGTCTCCTAGTTCATATTTGGGTCAGCACCATGCAAAGAAGGGTGGAAACATCTCCTGCAGGACATCTCCCACCTATCATGGGTGACTTGTTTAAGTAAGGAGAGGTTGGGACATCCAAAACAGGGAGGATGCAGAAAATAAGAAGAAAACACAACCCTAATAATATGGTTTTTTTAAACATTGTCCTCTCCTCTTCAGGGTTTTTGGGCTGCAGGTACCAGCTACAGGTGTCCTGAATTGATCAAGCTTTAGGTTTCATCTGGTCAACAACAAGAAGTTGTTACCTCCTGAAGGACCATTTATTGTCTACATCAGATGGATGACAACTTCTGGTGGCTAATAAGAGAATTTGGGGTTAGCACAGGTGAAATAAAGACCTCACATCTATTTCTCTTGGTTTCCAGATGTTCCCTTTACACAACCCTTGGTCCAAAGTTCTCAAAGAAGTTCCCAACCCTGCACCCTAAGAAAAAAAAATAAGATGCAACCAGGAGAAAGCACCTTGGCTTGCCCTTGGAGGGGTTTTAGTAGCAGGATTATGTTCAGAGCCACAAGTTGCTTCCAGCCTACCAGGAATGCTGAGTCTGAAGATCTGTTAATAGGAACGTCTGTCTGGAGAAAGGAGAAAACACTCACAGGAGTCAAATTCAGCTGCCACTTATAAAGCCTGTGGGTTTATTGCTAGAGCTGAAATGAAACCAAGACAGATATTGAGAAGAACCCTAGAGGTGGAGCAGGTCCAACCATCTTAATTTAGGGTGATAATCCTTCCAGATTAAATTAAAGACTCAGATAACATCAAAATGGTTGGACCACATCAGTAACCCTCATCCTGCCCATGCTGTAGGTTAGTCTGAGGGGTCTTCATCCCACTCCTCGTTGCAAAGGTCCGTCTCGTTTTTGGAATAACGAGATGTCAAGCGGGACTCGGCGTCAGATGCTCGTTCTCGGCCACAGTTCATTGTAGAGGTGCAGCTTTGCTGGTAATAAATGGTCACCTTCCCTGGAGAGAAGGTGGGAAGAGAAGGATCTTGGTTAGAAGAAAATAGAACTAAGCTAAGAAAAAAAAATCAGTGATGGGTTTGGAAGTTACCAGGTGAGAAACCAACTCCTTAAATAACACACCCTAATTAAGTCATGTGACTTGGTTTGTTTTAATTAAGGGAATCAGAGAATTGCCTAGATTGGAAGAAATCTTTAAGATCAAGTCCAACCATCAACCCAACAGTGACAAATCCCTGACTAACCCATGTCCCTCAGCACTATCTTCAATCCTTCCAGGGATGGGAACTCGACCACTGCCCTGGGCAACCCCTTCCAATGCCTGAGAACCCTCTCAGGAAAGAAATTCTTCCTCAGATCCCCCAAAATTTCTTCTCAATCTCCAAGAAAAAGCCAAGTGAGATGTGTGTGCACCCACAAATAAAATTCAGGTGGCTTCTTTGGGAGACATAGTCCTTCCTTTGCCCAAAATAGACTTTTTTTTTTAATGATCCATAGGACAACCTCCTTCAAAAGAAGGAATTTGACCCCTTCCCCACATCAAACTCATCTTTCCATCCTCATTTATTCTGCAAATCAATTTGGTTTTCCAAAGACTGGGACAAACCTCCACTGAACCAAAGGAAACACGTAGTTTTGAGTCTCACCACTACCTACCCAGGGAGGTTTTAATGATGGCACATTTCTCTCTCCGTTCACAAGTCATTACGTTCGCTCCATGGAAACATCCCACAAAAGGGATCTTGTACTTGCAGACTTTGCATTGAAGAACCTCAACTGCAGCAGAGAGAAGAAACAATGAGCTCGGAGCTCCATGTTGCAGAGCCATGAGGAGTTTTGCCCCTCTATGATAAGATGGGGTGACCCTAGAGAAGTTGTAGAGCTCACCAAGGGAAGGAATGAAGTGTCACCTGCACTTACAGACCCACTCATGAGAGCTTTCATCTGTAGAAGACAGGCAGATGGTGCCTATGGAGACTTAATCCTTGGCA